CTAAATAAGTTTTGAGCAATACAACGTAAGGAAGAGTGGTATTTGTGTTTTTTGATCAAGAGAGACTTGCACGTTTGTCAAGAAATTGTTAAATGTAGGTTTTTAAAAAAATTTACATTTTTTAAATTTGTATTTGGACATAATACTTTCATTTTATTTATTTATATGTGGTGCCGAGGATTGAACCCAGGACCTTGATCGTGCTATGCAAGCGCTCTACTTCTGAGCCACAACCCCAGCCCAGTTTTTGTGGTTTTTTTTTTTGAGGAAATCACATATAGCATGTTTATTTCATAAACTGATAAGATTCAATAAAATACTTCAGCATTATTAATGTACATTTTATCAAAATTCTATTAAATTATGATATGACAAAGAGTAATAAAATTTTTCTATAGTAAAGATTTTTTTAACAATGATTTATAGGCACCCTAAAAAAAGTATGTAGTTCCAATTATTCATTTACTAAACTTCATTCATTCGTAATATACTAGTTGACAAAAACCACACAGAATATCTGTTTTTGAAAAAATTGTTTGGTGAATTATTAACAATACAGTATGCAATTTGTATTTATTATTGGTTCATCATACCCACATTTTATCCACATAATAATATTGTAATAATATTCAATAAATTGTATCTTAAAACATGAAATACCACATACCATAGTGTGCAGATTATATAAATGCTCTTATAATTTCTTCATCCTTTTCACAAATATTTATCAGGCATTTACTATATGCTAATTAGAACTCAGTTCATCCTAATTATTTCAGATATTTCAAAAAAAAAAAAAACCTGTAAGACCTCATTTGGAAAGGACAATATAGATTTCAGAAGTAACTACTGTTTCTCTAGTGAATAATGTGTATAGAATTCTGCTATGGTGATGGGGTATGCAAATATATTTGAGATGCATATGAAAAACAGTACAATTTATCAATGTTATATAAATAAAGTGAAATATCATACAAAAAGGTTAAAAATATTAACTTTTGGGAAAAAAAGCAAAAGGGTGCACTAGTGTTTAAAATAAAGTAATAATAATTTTTACTATACTTAGTTGTTTCTGTGTCTCATTTCATTCTTTACTTTAATTATCTATTCATTTTATTAAGTACCCCTATAGATGTTAAACTATATAAGGTACATTTATTGTGGTCTGAGTGCTATTGGAAAATATTGGCATTCAGTAAATAATGACACCAATTTTCTGTTCTGCAATATTAAAGAACTATTTCAGATTTATTGCAATGAATTGTTTTCTTTAAAGTAACAGTAGTTTTTCAATGCGGAAATTACTAAGATATATTTGGGTTTTCCCAAAAACTCTGATACAACCATATTTGAT